CTAACATAATTTGTTAACTCTTTATTAAAATAAAAAAAATATTTATAAGACCAATTATCAAAAATTAAAAATGTAACAATTTAATTCCAAAAGTTAAAAAATAAAAAAAATTAATAACTTAAAAATAATTAGTAATTGATTTTATCACATATATGAGAACAATGTTAGATATCTACAATTAGATCCAGTGATTAACCCAATCTAACTAAAGAAATCTAATAAAGATTAAAAAAAATTTCTTGGCTATATTTTTCTGGTCTCTTAAATTTTCTATCTTAATTCAATTAAGAAATTTTCCTTAATTTCAATCCAAATTCTTTCTCCAAATTAAGCTAGTTCCTCGATTTGATTATAAATATCTAATACTATTTCAGTATATGTGAAAAAGTTATCTATTAATTCTTTTTAGTTTACTAATTTTTATAATTTTTGAACTTTTAGAATTAAATTGTTACATTTTTAATTTTTACTGATTAATCCTATAACTATTTTATTCCAATTTTAACAGAGAATTAATACATTCCATTAATTTAGGTGCTAAAGCTAGAAAGAATAATATAGAACCAAAAAAAATAAAGAAATTGGTCCCACTAGTCTCACTAGGTGGGTACAAAAATTAATAAACAGAGGGTTATTCTAATTTGTGTCTTAAGGGTTATTTTAATTTGTGTTTTTAGGGTACCGGTTAAAAGTTAAAAAAAAGTAATATTTAATTTATCAACTGTCTAATTAAATTTATTTACGTGACAATGACACTAAAATTAATATTTACTTTTATATTTTCTTATACAAATTTATTACAAAACTGTATCATTAATATGTGCTCTTAAAAAAATTCATAAATAAAAGTTGAATATTTGACCGTTAGTCAATTAATGGTCAAAGTTAACAGCAAAATGGATGGCATCCAATTAAGGATGACATTGAACAAAAAAAGGATAGTAGAGGGATGACATTTACGGTGTAAGAAAAGTAGAGGGATGACATTGAACATTTTCTTAGTAGAGGGATGGTAATGAACATTTTCACAAAGTACGAGGACTACAGTTGGCTTTAACCCTTTTATTTTCTACTGTAAATATTATTTGGAGAGGGGGTGGAAATGTAAGAGGATTGTGTGTAAATATTTTGCTCACTTGAAAATTTTAAGAATAAAATTAAATTTATTTAGGTATTTCAAGTAAAATACTCCGTAAAACTAATATTTGCGCCTTAACAATAATATTATTATAAAATAAGTACATTTTTTAATTTTTCTAAATATTATATTATTTTTTAGAGTTTTTAATGTTTTTCAAGTTTGAGAATACTATTAAA